GGGGGGGGGAAAGAAGGGAGGAAAAGGAGGGACGACAAGGTACGGAACGAAGAGGAGGTTGAGAGAAATAAGGGTGAGGGAAATTAAGTGGGTAGGGTGTGGCATGACGGGGGAAAGACGCAGGGGGGAGTTTGGGGTGGGGGGGGTTACGCAGGGCGGCATGAAGGGAAGAGAACAGGGAATATCGGGGGTGCGAGGGGTGGGAAAGGGTGGAAAGGCGGGGAAAGAGGGGGAAAGAGGCGAGGGAGGGAGAGTGTAGAAGGTTGTTGTCGTTATGAGATGAGCTGTGTGCATGGATGGATGAAATTGAAAGGGGACGGTTTGCTTTTTTTCTTTTTCTTTTTCGTCCGGACGGACAGGGGGTTTAACGAAAAGCGGGGGGGGGCGAAGGACAGAAATAGCCGACCCCTTGTTTTAATTATGTATTTTGTGTTTTCAAAATGACTAAAGTGGCCCCGTCGGAAATAGCCTCTTCTTTTCAAATTGATTTTTTAGACTCCAGAACTAGCGCGGTGAGAATGCACGTGGACAGTCTGCATATCCGCTTGCAGATGGTGCTCTTGGGCATCTCCATATCGAGGTGTATTCTCTTTTTTTTCCTTCTTCTTTTTTGTAGTGGGGCTAGGTTTTGCTTTTGCAAACCTGAGCGGTCCGTTTATGTGCTCTTATTTTCAAGAAATTCAGGGGGAGAAAAAGCGACTGAAGGGAAGGAAAATGGACTAAACGTGGAAAAAAAATGTTTTTTTTTTTTTAATGATTTTTGTTACGAATTAATTACGTTGTTCATGTAAAAAAGCAAGTAAAAGGTTGAGGATTCCCGTCCTCAGAATTGTCCTATATTTTGAATAAAGGATCCTCCACCTTTTCCCAAAAAAAAAAAAAAAAAAAAAAAGTTGGAAGGGGAAAAAAGCTAGGCTACCAGTTGTCCGATGGCAGGACGTCCTGGCCGGACGTCCTGGGCGGACAGTCAGGGGGGTCCTGGACGTCCGGCCCGAACAACTCCATTTTTAGCAATTAAAAGCACGAAAAAGTAAAAAAAAAAAAAGGTTGTTATTTTATTTTATTTTTTATTTTAAAATTGGCAGCGAATTTCGGTATGATTCCAAGGCGAAAGTTGTTCAGTTTATTTTTCTGTATAACATACTTTTTTTTTCAGATTTTTCTGAGGAACTTTTTTCTTTTTTCTTTTTTCTTTCGGGCTCGGACAGACTGCCCGGGGAGGACGTCCGACCAGTTGTCCGATCGGACAACCCCGGACGGTCAGGGGGGTCCCGGACGTCCTATCAGGTAACCTAGGAAAACAGAGTGCCGGCGCAGTGGAGTGGAACGGATAAAAATCAAATGAATAAATTGATATTGCAACGATATAGAGAAGATTACTAGGCTACCAGCCGGGCCGCCTGGGTCACCTTGTTCGCCGGGGCAGCCTGGCCGTGTAAGGACCAAAGAAGGTCCCAGCAAAAAGAAAAAAAAAATCCAAAAAATCCAAAAAATCCAAAAACAAATATTATATTACATTATGCACTAGGCTACCAGCCGGGACGCCCGGGTCACCCTATTTTCCCGGGCGGCCCGGCCGTGCAAGGACCAGGGAAGGTCCCAGCCAAAAAAAAAAAAAAAAAAAAAAATCCAAAAAATCCAAAAAAACTGAATAACTTTTGCCTCAAGGTCACATCGAAAACTATGCTCCTTGCACGGCCGGGCATTCCGGGCAAACAAGGTGGCCTGGCCGGCCCGGCTGGTAACCTAGGCCCTAACTTAATTCCTCTCCTTTGTTGAACTGGATCGGCCCCCTACCGGTAGGTTCTTCGTAACCCTTTTTTTTCCCCTTTTTCTTTGGTAAACTACCGGGCGCTGTCACGGTTTTCAGTTTTATATGCCTTTCAGTTACGGCGTCGCGAATTTTACTCCAAAGCGAGGACAATCGTGAATGTATTCATCCCAGCTTTAGGGTTAGGTGGGGATATGTTGTATTCAATGGATGCCTGAAGTGGATTTAGAACTCAAAAACGGGACTGCGCGGAGTTACCCCTTTTCTTTTTCTTTTTCTTTTTCTTATACTTACATGCACGATCGAGGGATGCCGCCCCTATTATGGGCTTAGGGTGCTGGGTACCCAGCCTGTTATGGGTTTAGGGTGCGCTGGGTACCCAGCCTATTATGGGCTTAGGGTGCTGGGTACCCAGCCTATTATGGGTTTAGGGTGCTGGGTACCCAGCCTATTATGGGTTTAGGGCTGTCTCTTATACACATCTAGATGTGTATAAGAGACAGGGCTTAGGGTGCTGGGTACCCAGCCTATTATGGGTTGGGTGCTGGGTACCCAGCCTATTATGGGTTTAGGGTGGTGGGTACCCAGCCTATTATGGGTTGGGTACCCAGCTTATTATGGGTGAATGGTGTACAGACACATACGTAAGTTGATGTAACTGTGTGTCTGTAGACAAATCATGAGTTCAAGTCCGGATCCGTATGGATCACTAGAATGATTTCTCGATTGCAGATCCTTTTGAATCACATCCATATGGAATAATAAGAAACACTAGAAATCCCATGGCAGAATCTTTTGGAGATAACCAAATCTTGGTCCTCTTCTGGTTCAGTGGGAAATTAAAATCCCATGGCAGAATCTTTTGGAGATAACCAAATCTTGGTCCTCTTCTGGTTCAGTGGGAAATTAAAAGGAAAAAGAAAAAGAAAAAAACGAATCACACTCCTTGATAAACACCGGGACTCCACCTATGAAAGGGAACAAAAGAAAGTTTAAATCCTTTTTTTTTTTTTTTTTTTTTCTTTCTAAAAGCGCTTATGGTCCCGGCTCCATATCCATTCTGGGGAGTATTAGTCAAAAATTTAATACATCATAGAACACGCTCACGCTTAAATCCTATTCCAACAATAGTACGAATATAAGCAAACCATCTAGCTCGATTATAAGATGGATTAAGATGTAAATTACTATTTATTAAGATCAGTATTTCTTTTTAACTTACAGTAATTTTATGATAATAGTTCATATTATATAACCCCGAGGAACTCCACTGGTAGACAAAATCTTTTTTTTTTTTTTTTTTTTCCCAAAAGAGATCAAGGACAAGCAGACGTGCTTTTTTTTTTTCCCAAAAGAGATCAAGGACAAGCAGACGTGCGAGCATGGGCTAAAAGCTTAACAGAGGTGGTTACAGGGGTGAAGGGGATGCTTGATTAAAAAAAAAAAAAAAAAAAAAGGTGTATGGATGATCGGGGCGCAGGAGCTGTGGGCTCACATCATTGTATCCTCACCACCTTCCCCCCTCTCCCTTCCTCCCCTCCCCCCCCTTTTCCTCTTCCCCCCCTCCACATACTCACTCCCTCCCTCCTCCTTTCCCCTTTGAAGGACGCTGAAGAGGAGGGAGTTTGGGGGGAAAAGAAAAAGAAAACGAGGAGAGTGTTTTTGGGTATATCTTGCGGGCGTTGGCCTGTGGGCCGTATTTGGTGAAATTTTCAGTCCAGATACAGCTGTAATGACTGGGCATTGTATTCGGGTGAAGAGGGTAGCTCTACCCTGCACCTGGACAGGTGCCTGCATCTCCGCACCTTCACACAGAACCTATATGCCTCCACCCCTAACTTGTGGCAGGAACTGCATACCCGTCCCCCTCGACGTGCACGTGAACAGGATCCGGACGTAGGCTAGGCTCAGATCCAGAGCCTGACGTAGGTGAGGGTTCAGATCCTGATGTAGGTCCAGATCTGGATGTGCATCAGGATCTGAATCCCGCACCCACGTCAGGCTCTACATCCGAGCCAACGTCGGGATCTAGATACACCCGGACCAGCATCTGAACCACCACCTCCGCCTTTATCTCAGCCGTCGTCTTTCTTAGAACTGCCCTTCTCCTGTACCTGGACCTCTACGTGGACCTGCACCTGGACCTCCACCTGGGCTTGCACCGTGTCCTGAAGGTGGACCTGAACCTGGACCTCGACCTCCACGTGGACCTTCACCTGGGCTTGCACCTTGAGCAGAAGGTGGACCTGAACCTGGACCTCCACCTGGGCTTGCACCTTGACCTGAACCTGGACCTGATCCTGGGCCTTGTTCTGTATACCGGAGCGGCATCCGGACCACCACCTGCACCTTCATCTCAGCCGTCATCTTCCTTAAAACTGCCCCTTTGACCTGCGCCTGGACCTGCACGTGTGGACCTCCACCTGGGCCTGCACCTGGGCCTGCACCTGGATCTGCACCTTTGACCTGAACTTGGACCTGAACTTGGACCTGAACTTGGACCTGGACCACCAGCTGCACCACCAGCTGCACCTTCATCTCAGCCGTCAACTTCCTGAAAACTGCCCCTTTGAGCTGCGCCTGCGCCAGTGCCTGTGCCTGGACCTGCACGTGGACCTCCACCTAGGCCTGCACCTGCATCTGCACCTTTGACCTGAAGGTGGACCTGAACTTGGATCTGCACTGGCCCCGCAACGTGGACCTGAACCTGGACCTGGTTCTGTATCTATGATGATGAATGTCCAATCAACGGAAGATGGGTTCACTTTGAAATGTTGAGGGTCTTGACTTCTGTTTCAAATGGAGGGTAATGATATGTGAAGTACAGATGCCAGTAGCAAGGTGCAACGGAGGTATGTAGTACTCACCATTATCCTTGTCGGTACGCCGAAGCCTATCATCCT